GTGGAGGAGGGAAGTAACAGAACAGGGGTTAGGAAAGACAGTGTCCCTGGCCCTGGCCACTGGCTCACAGGAACTGGACACCTATCCTGGGCCCTGCTGTTCCCTGGACCAGGGTCCCCCGCAGAGTCCCTCTAGGCAGTGGTACACCTATGGCAAGTGTACCGCCATGGGCTGTTTGTGCTGAAGGCTGTGAGCCTCTCAGTCAGGGAGTTCTGTCTAGTTTGCTCACTGCCATGTTCTCAGGGCCCGGAACAAGCCTGCTTCATGTGTCAGGAGCTTAATAAATGTATGAGTGGGGCTGGGGATTTAGCTCAGTGGTTCTGGCACCTACCTCCCAAGCGCAAGGTCCTGAGTTCCATCCCGGTACCAAAAAAAAAAAAAAATGTATGAGTGGATGGGAGAGGTGACACACAGATAGTGGTCACATCTGGGAGGCACAGGGCAGCAGGGTCAGGTCAGGGTCCAGAGAGGCACCTGATCTGGCCTGAGGTGTCAGGGAAGGCTTTCTGGACCAGGTGCTTTTCAGCCCTGGGGAGACAGACAGGTCATCATACAAGGGGTTCTGCTCTGGAGCAGCCTTTTCTCCTGTTTTGGATGGAGGTTCTGAGCAAGCCACTCTCATGCTCAGAGCAGCTGGCTGAGGCCGTAGGCACCAGGACTGATGACCTGCCTGAGAATCCCAGCATCTGACCTCTCTGTGGTGCCTTGGACATGTTGCTCACCCTTCCCAGGCCTCATTTTCCCCTATTGTAAAATGAGCCTGCTAAAATACCTATGCCATCTAGGGCAGTGATGAAGTAAAATGACTTAGCCCGTGCCCTTGCCAGGAGCAGGGGCTGACCCAGAGTGAGGCCATGTGCATTCAGCAGGGTTAGTGAAAGAGCCACCGTGGCATTCAGGCGTCCCAGGTCCCCCCATTGCTCTCCCTCTGCAATCTCCCCATTTGTCCCTTGTACCTCTGGTAGTGCTAGCCTGGCGTGGGGGTGAGGTAGAATGTGCATGTTTTACTGGAGACCAAGCCTGCTGAAGCTGGGCTGTGGTTTTGGTCCCCAGGCAGCCCATCCTCTGTCCAGCAGCTGCAGGCCATGTGGCCCAGGCCCACCCAGCCAGCTCTGGTCCTGCCTTGCCCCGCCCCCACTCCCCCACCCCCGCCTTCCGTGGGCAGGAGCCCCAGTCATGCTCCACTGCTGCTGGGGCAGGGCCACATTGCCACTACTGCCAGGGAGGCTGGGATGCGGAGCCAGCTGGCTGTCCTTGGTGGGGGCCCGATATCCCCACTCCCTGCCTTCCTCTGGAAGCCTCTGTCCACTAGCACCTCCCTCTTGCCAGAGAGTGGGGCCCAGGATGGTGGAGGTGAGCTGGAGGGAGGAGAAGCCTGGACTGGGTGAGGGGCCATACCTTTCCTGGGGCCAGGGGCGGGGCCATGATTGTTCCTGTGTGTGTGAGGTGGCAGGTGCCTACCTGCTGGGGATGTACCTGTGCTGAGTGCAGCTCCCTGAGCCTCTCTTTGCAAGCATTTCTGGAGTCTGGTTTGCATGGGGGTTCTGGGGGGCTGTGCCTCACTGAGTCACTCTGGGTGATCCTGGAGTTAACTGGGGTCCTCAGGGTGGGGGAGATGTCTCGTTCTCTACTAATGTGGATCTGACCTTGCTCAGGTCTCATGGTCTAGCTTTGTGTCTCAGGTAGTCCCTGGGCAGGTGAATATCTGAGAGTTTGTCTTTCTTAGCAAGGCTGGCACTCAAGAAGCATGTCTGTGTGTTTGTAGAAGGTGGCTGGGGTTTGTAGCATGTTTGTCCTTCAGCTTCGTGTGGTCCCTGGGACTTACCCGTGGTCTCTGGTGGGAGTCCCTGCATCTCTGGGGTGTGTGGTTGTTAACATATTAGCAGATGCCTGCTCTGGGCTGCCTGGAGGTCCCAGCCCCTCCACTTACCTTGTGCTCACTCTGAGCCCCCTGCCTTTCCCACTGGGGCCTCTGTAGCTCCCCCCAGGGCATCTCCTGCTAATCAGAGCAAGGACTTTGGCTCAGGGCACTTGTCCCTTCCCCATGCCTCAGCAAGGAAGGCACCTACCCAGTCCTGTGATGGCTACTGCCTTGGTGCCTAGGATGTGGGTAGAAGGTGGGTTGCTCCGATCTCTGGCTGGTCAGGGAGCTGTGTGATCCTTTGTGTGGCTGGGGCCTGTGATCACGTGGCTAGCCTCGGACATCCCATGCACACATGGAGGGGGCAGGTCATCCCTGTGTTTGTTTGGGTTCCTGTGTGTTGGATTGCTGAATAGAGGACAAGGGGGGCATCAGTTGCTGCATAGTGTGTCTCCGTGTCTGCACGGAACCCTGAGGGGGCATTTTCTGGTGGGGAGGTGGACTGGGAGGGGCTGGGAGCCTCCTTTCTGCCTCATTACCTTCTTCCCTGTGGCCTCAAGGGATGGATGAGGAAGTCTAGCCCAATGTCCCCAGTCCTAGTACCCTACATATACCATTTCCCATATACTCTGCACCCCTGGGCACCTCTGGGTGTGATGGATGGTAATAGTGCCCTTTCTGTCTGTGCCCTGTGTGCCTGTAGATGGGGGCAGGGGCTGGGTGAGCCTGGCTGGATAGTAAGCACTGTCTCCTCATTCAGCCACTCTGCACTTTATCCACCCCTGGTGCTGGCAGGGCTGGGGACACAGGTGGGTAAGATGGCCCCTGGCCCTGCCTTCCTGGGACACCCTGTCCAGGGAGAGAAGCAGAGCTGTCCTCAGACAGTGGCAGCCAGTCATGCTCCTCTCACCTCGTCCTGGAGAAGGTGAGACGGGCACATTGGCTTGGCCTGTGGAGGACTGCACCCAGCACCCCCTTTCATGTTTTCATACCTGCGTTTTTTTCATTCGTTCATTCATTCATTCATTTTTTCATTTATGAGCAGCAGTAGTAAGAGTGTATAGCCGTACTGAGGGACTCTGTAACCCATACCCTGTTCTACATGCTTTACTTGTGTCATCTCATCCACTCCAAGTTTTCCCAAGAGGTAAGGACTGTCACTACCCTTGATTTGCAGATGAAGACACTGAGGCCCAGAGAGGCTCCGTGACTTGTCTAGGAGCACACAGCTTGAGATGGTGGAGCCCGGACCTGAACTTGGGCCAGCTGCCTCCTGAGCTGTGTCCTGGGTCAGCCCTGTGCTGGGCAGTGGCCAGGAAAGACAGGCTGTCTTCCTGAGGGTGCCCAGCCATTGAGGAGACAGGTGGTAATCAAAGGACCACACAGACAAAAGTAAAATTGTAAAATTGTGATAGGTGCCTTCAAGGAGGTGGTGAGCAGTGTGGTGGTTGGAAGGAAGAGGAAGGGATAAGAAGGCAAAGGCTGGGGTGGGGCATTCTGGGGCCCAGGCCAAGGCAGAGTCTGCAGAGGCTTGGTGGGAGGATGGCGCTGCCCCTACTGGAGCAAGGTGAGCAGTGCTGCCCGGGCTCCTAAGAGGACCGACTTCCTGAGGCCAGGGCACCCCCAGGAGCTGTGTCATTTGTGGGATTTTCTCAGGGTGGGGACTGGCAGGTTCCTGGAGTCACCTCCTATGTGGTTTTTGCCTCTTGCTTGTAGCTGAAATACACAACTGCTTCCTCCATTTGACGCCACCGAGGCCTGGTGCCTTGGGTGGGCCTCCCTGCAGTGGGGAGGGAGGGATGGCGCACAGTGGGCCTTGCTGGCAGTGTTTGGGACATGGTTGCATGGGACCCGGGCCATGGAGACCGTCTGCCCTGCTCCCTTCCCTGCTCCTCAGGGTGCAGACTCATCATAACGGGCAACAGTATCACTCACTCGCTCCACAAATATTCGCTAGGGACCTGCTGTGTGCCAGGCACTGCTCCAGATGCCAGGGAGCCACCACTGTACTGGGAGGCCAGAGAAGGGCCCCAACTTTCATTACAGGTCAGAACCAGCCTTCCTAAGGAGGTTTTATTGGCACTAAGACCTGAATATCAAGAAAGGGTGAGCTGTGAAATTCTGGGCAGTGAGGACAGTAGGTACAAAGCCCGAGGCTAGGACAAGCTCTGATATAACCAACATGAGGCAAGAGGAGGCCAGTGTGCCTGAGCTGGAAGACAGGCAAAGGTGGCTGGCTGGGTAGGTGGGGCCCTGTCAGGTGATACCTGGGAGGATTTGTTGATCTGCTTACCGCTTCAGCTCCCCTCATCACCAAGGCAGCTTTTCTGATATTAGCTCTGGTTCTGGTTAGAAAATTGCTCGTGCTCTTGTCCTGTGAGCCCATGGGGTTCTTTCTCCAGAGTGGAAGCCTCCACTGAAGCTGGAGCTACTGAGAAGCAGGAACCTGAGAGGGTACCAACAAGGGGCAGAGTTAGTGCTTTCGTGACATGGTACTGGGTGACCAGTCTCTGGGCCTCAGTTTCCTGAGTTGGGAAGCAGGAAGGAAGAGGACTCCCTGCCCACCCAGGACTGTTCAAAGGGCCCAGCGTTGCCCATCTGCATGCCTGGCACTGGCCTGCACTCGAGTCAGCAGCCATGAAGGGGGCACCTTCTGGGGCCACACCCTGCCCTGGACACTGTGTGCAGCCAAAGCTGACCAAGTCACTATACCTGCCTTCATGAGCTGCCAATAGAGTGGCCAAGGCAGCAGGAGACAAACTAATGACTCTACCATGTTGGGAGCTGTCAGCTATGGAGATATGAACTGTGTGCCAGGCCTGCCACCTTGGCCTTTAGGGGAACCCGGCACCTGCCCACTTCTGCCCCTCTGCAGTCCCCAGGCTTCTGTCCACCGTGGCTCCCACTAGACTCTCAGTGCTCTCCTGCCCTGTCCCTTCTTCCCATCATGCCCCACAGAAAGCCCTGCATGTAGCCAGAGTGAGCCTGAGAGGGACCTTTGAGGCCCAAGACATCACACCCTCCTGCTCAGAGCCTCCCCACTGCTGTCACTAAGAAAGGATGTAGTCCTGCCTGTCAGCCACAGCCCCTACACAATCTGCCCCTCCCTTACCTCACAGATGTGTCTGTTCACCCTCACCCACCTTACAGCAGCCTCTCTGGCCACATCCTCACACCTGGCCATCTTGGGACCTTCACCCTGGCGCTTCCCACTGCCCAGCTGTTCCTCCTGCAGTGCCACGTGGCCCGCTTGGGTCTGTGCTCAGGTGCTTCCCCTTGATGCACCCTGGCTGCTACTTTCCTGAAAATGGCACTCTTGCCTTGCCCCAGCACCTCCTGAGCGAGACTTCATTTCCTCCACACACCACCTGCTGATGTGCAGACCTCCTGATGCTGCTCGCCTTGGCTACCTCTTTCCCTGGCATGAGCTCCCAGGGCCAGGACACTTCTGGCCATCTCACCCACTGCTGAAGCCCTGGCCTGGCCAAGCCTGCCTCAGTAATTGTCTACAGGCCAATCGCTCAAGGGTAGGTGGTTGTGATTTGTGGCTTCACTTGTGGGTGGAGAGTGGGTTTGCCCAGGAGGCATGAGAGGACATTGTCAGTCCCAAAGCCTGCCAAGAGACTGCGTGATGGGGGTGTGCAGGTGGTGGCGAGAGCAGACACATGTGTGGAGGTGGGAATGGAGCCAGGCACTCAGCACTGCTGGGCCTGCTGTGGGCTGTGTAGGCAAGCCAGACTCCTCTCTGTTGTCACAGCATAGCCCTGCAAGGCAGGGGGTAAACTGAGGTAGGAAGGGGCCTTCCCGGAGTGAGTAGGAAAAGACATGCATGGTAGAGGGGAGTCAGGGACCCATGGTGGAGGCCTGGAGCTCAGGCTGGGGACAGTGAGCGCTTCCTCATTCGTCCTTCCTGGCTGTGTTTCACGCTGGTGACTGAAACCAAGGCTGTGACCCTGGCTGTGTCTGCTGTGCTTCCCTGGGCCCTGATTCCAGCTGGCCACCCTGCTCCACACCAGGGACAGTGGCCTTATTCAGAGCTGGGAAGGGCTGCACTGGGGGTCAAGAAGTAAGGGGTTTTGCTCATATGTGTGTGCCTGTGTGCATGCACACATACATACACAGAGCTTTGTCACACAAGCAGCTCTTGCTCTTCCACTGGGCTGATGTCTGGGGAGGTGGGGGTACCAGTTTCTTCTCATGAAGGGACAGGGTAGAAGAAGTGGGTGTGGGGGAGCCTGGGCACTTTGAAGCTTTTGCTAGGCCGGGTCAGAAACAGCCTGTTCCACACGTTAACAAGTTCAAGAGATTTTTTTTCTAATTGAAATAAACATTTTCAAGTAGGATACAAAATGTGCCTGCATTTTGAGGATCAAATACTGTACTTCAGAGCCAGCCGTGCCCCCAGCTGGGGCTGCCTCCCATGTTCCTCCATTCCACCTCCTCTTTCCCCTCTAGGGTCAGCAGGTCACCCTCAGCCTGTGGGTGCTGTCCCTCGTGTTCCTCCTCACTTTTCGGTGTTGCGGTGTGTGTGGAGTGTGCAGCGCTAGTCTGAGGTGTCTGAGCAGGGGCAGTGCCACCAGTACCAGTGGTCTGCCTGTTCAGCACATGATCCTCAGTGACTCAGTAGTGACTGGACAGTGTCGCGGGTGTTGGGGTCCAGCAGGGAGCAAGATGACAATGCTGCTGTGGAGGAGCTGACCTTCTGGGGAAGAAGTGGACACAGTTAAAAGGGTGCATACACATACATACACTGTACAGAGCCCTGATGTCTGTGTGGTGAGTGTGGGGAGACAGCAGAGCATGAGACAAGGTGGCAGTACAGGAGCAGGAGCGTCTGAGCGCAGGACATGCGTGGGCAGGGCAGGAGGTTCCAGCCGGGCAGCCCCTGCCAAGGCCCTGAGGGACGCACCTGGGACTTGGCAGGGAGGCCATAGACAGGGTGAGCAGGTACAGGGAGGAGAGGAGGGCGGCCAGGTGGTGGGGAGGTCCCTCGGGGCCATGAGGAGTTTTGGGAGCCAGTAAAGGTTTAGGACAGTGACTCTGAAGTGCTTCAGACTGTCTCCAGGGCCTGCTCTGCCTGATGACCTTAGAGAATGATTTCACCTTTAGGAGCCTCAGTTTCTGCATCTGTAAAGTAGGCTCACATTGGCCACTCCACCGAGGTTGCAGGGAGCCTATGAGCTCCATGTTGGCATCTGCCCAAGATCTGGGCCCCTCCAGGTGGTGATGGTGGGGTCAGGACTGGAGCTGAGCCTCAGTGAGCCATCTTTGATGCCAGGGACTTTTTCCAGACATCTGATCTGCTGCAGACTGTCCTAAGGAAAAAGTAGAAACCATAGAGGCAGCTGCTTGCAATGCCTAGCACCTGGAGTCTGATATCCAGCCTGTCACCCTTGTTGCATCACCTGGGCTAATGGGTACTCTCTCTGCCTCGTTTTCCTTGTCTGTTGGATGGGGTGGTAATGGCCTCTTCCTCCTGAGCCAGGTGCACAGGTTGCATGAGGGCTGCTGGGTAGAGTGCTGAGAGGGGCTGCATCCAGTGGGCACTCGGTCTATGCTGGCTGCCACTGTAGTGGTGATGACATTGAGCATTTACTGTGTGCACTGTGGCTCTGATCCCTGTGGCCATCTTTGGGCCAGGCCCCCGGTGCCTTGCACTTCTGTGTGCTGTGCGATTTCTTGTAAAACCTTCAGGAAGCAGCCACTGTCATCACCCTCTTCTAACAGAGGCCAGCATCAAGCTCCCGGTTTGGCCGGGCGGGGCGGTGAGCGGGGGCAGCTCATCTCCACTTCACAGGTGAAGCAAGGTCACACAGCTTCTGGCAGCAAACAGTGTTAAAGCTTGGGCTGCCTGACTGTGAAGTTCTGAGCTGACCTGGGACCTGTCCCTGCCTTGGGAGCCTGCAGAGCCAGGAGCTGTGTGGGAGGGCCCGGGTGAGGCTCCTCCTTGGCCATTATAAACATGACCAGTTCCTCTGTCCTGCCCTCTGTGTGGTGCCCAGAGGAAAGGGATTGCCCAGGCAAATATCCGGAGGTGTGCCTCTCTGCCCCCTCTGCCTGAGGGGTCACATGCAGTGGCAGCAAGGGAGGGGAGGATTGGGGGCTTGTGGTGGGAGGTGGAAAAGCAGCTACCATCCAGTAGTCCCTCATCTCTATCCTGAGCTCCTCCTACTTCAGGGCCTGGCCCCCTTCCCCAGGGTGTAGTGAGGGGTCACAGGGCTGACCCTGTTCCTGCAGAGGCAGAGCCGCCTTAGTGCCCCCAGGCAGGGTGGGGGGAGCCTGCTGAGGCAGAGCCAAGAGTTCAAGGTGAGAGAAGCTGCTGCATTTGGAAGCCAGGGAGGCTGTAGGACATGGGCGTGGAGCTAGTGCTTCACTAGCACTAGCAAAGGGTTTAAAGACAAACGTAGGAGCTGGAACTAGAAGGACCTAGAGCTGAGGGCAGAGAAGCCAGGGGTGCGGAAGAGGGAAAGGTCAAGACCACCAGGATGGACAGAGAATGAAAGGCTGGAAGGAGGGATAGGCAGTGTTCAGGAGCTGGCACTGAGGAGAGACGCCTGAGGGGCTCTGGACCTGGTAAAAAGTCCCCTGCCCCTCCCGGGGCTGTCCCACCTCCAAGTACCTAGGCCAGGGCAAGTGGACACTGGGCCGATGGGGGAACCTTGGCTGGTCCTGACTCTGACCATCCACTGGCCCCTGGAGACTAGCTGAGACAGGTTGGCTGGGTCCCCACCCACTTCCCTCCCACTGGGCTGCACTGCTAAACCAGTTCCCCCAGACAGCTCTCCATTGACGGTCCTTCCTCTGGGCCGGGCTGGTCCTCCCCTCCCTCGATCCTCACAGGAAGGGTTCCTCATGGGACTGCCAGGCTTGGAGGGGGAGGGGACACTTGGCCACAGACATGCTGAGGTCCACAAGACTGGGGGCCAGCCCTGTGCCCAGCACACGTACCAGGCGCTGGGGAACTGCTAGGAATGAGACAGAAGTTCCCACGGCCTGTTTCTCCTTGTGCTGTGGTCTCGACTCACCTGGCCCCTCTTCTGGAAGGACCTCCCCCTAGCCCAGCCAGCTGTCCCTCCCGGGCTGGGCCTTTCATCCTTGGCATGCCAGTCCTGACCACTCTGGGCTGTCATGATCTGGGGACAGGTCTGTCCGCCCCACAGGGACCCCCAGGAGATTAGAGGCTATCTAGGTCTCAGCTTTTTCCCTGAGCCAGCCAGCAGAGGGCTGGGCACAGAAGAGGCTGGTCAGTGGGGTACTAAATGAAGAAATAGATGAACACGCTGGATCTTTTTCCCCCACCTTACAGATGAGTAACTCAAAGCCTGAAGAGGAGACATTACCTGCCTGAGGGCACTTCTAGCCCAGCCAGCCTCAAAGCAGGTCTGTGTGACCCTAGGACCTATGTATGGGACTTCTGGGGTAAGGCTTCGGGGCATGGGGCCATCCCTAGGTTGTGGCAGCACACCCACTGGGCTTGTCTGTCACGCTTGGCCCTGAGCAGGGCTCTCTGTTCACCTGTTCCTTCCTCACTGCAGCTAGGTTGGGGCATGGAGAGGCACGGAGAAGGCCCATTCACTCCCCTGGGTGCCCTGTAGCAGGTGGCAGGGAGAGAGTTGTCTTTGCCTACTAGCTCCCTTCAGGCCCCTTGGACTCCTGAAAAGAGAATTTACTCTGGGCCTGGCCCATTCTCAGTGCCCAGCTGAAGACCAGACTGTAAAGCCAGGGATGTCATGGTGAGGGCATCTGGGCGTCTGTACCTCTGTACCTCCCTTTGTCCTAGTTGGCAGCAGAGCCGAGTGGCAAACCCAGGTGTCAGAAATGGATCATGTGGGCCTTTGGGCCACAGGGGCCTCTGAACAGGAGAGGGCTGTGACCTGGACTCTGGTTGCCCAGGAGTAACCTGTGGGGTGCAGGGCTGGAGCAGGGTTGGGAAGAGGTGGCTGGTGGGGGCAGAGGAGGGGAGGTGACCGGTGTGAGTGCTCCCCTGCCACTGACCCCACTGCCCACCATGGTTCCTTCCCACAGCGCCCTCGAGTGCAGAGGCCCAGGCACCATGTTTGGGAAGAGGAAGAAGCGAGTGGAGATTTCAGCGCCCTCCAACTTTGAGCACCGCGTACACACAGGCTTCGACCAGCACGAACAGAAATTCACAGGGCTGCCACGTCAATGGCAGAGCCTGATTGAGGAGTCGGCTCGCCGGCCCAAGCCCCTCGTGGACCCCGCCTGCATCACCTCCATCCAGCCTGGGGCCCCCAAGGTATGCCATTGCCGGCCACCACCCCCTACCTGTGCCACCCCCCAGTGGCCCCAGCCCTTCACCCCATCCTTGACCCTGCAGCCGCCACCTCCTCACTGACCTTCCCACATCTGCAGCCCAGCACTGGCTTTTCCCCCACCCCATGCTTAACCCAACCTGAAGCCCTTACTGCCTCCCTCATAGGCCCCCACACTGCCCTGTAGGTCCTGCCCTCTCTGAAAGCCCCATGCCTTGAGCTCTGTCTCCCATTCCCAGTACCACATACCCAAGCCCTAGCCTTCCCAGAGCCTCCTTCCTGGCAGTGGGGAACTGGCCCATTCCCAAATAGTGACAGCCCCAAGTTGGCCTGGGATAGGGGAGCCCAGATACAGCGCCTGACCAGGCTGGGGCTCCCAGTGAGCTTCTTGGAGGAAGGAACACCTCAGCTGTGCCTGAGGGCGGAGGAGAAGGAACCGAGCCAGTGAGGGGAAGCAGGGCGAGTAGTGGAGGAAGTGGCTCATGTGACACGTTGAGGCATTTGGTTTTGTGGGTTTTTTCCTGCCATCTTGAACAAAGTGGCAGGGTTGGGATTGGAGCTGAGGTCTGTTTCTGCGGCCCACAGTCTTCACCCTTTCCTGCCTCTGTGTGTATTGTCACACTTGTGGCCTGCAGCCAGGCTGGCCCGTGCAGAGGTGGCCACACCAGATCGTGAAGCCAGCCTCAGAGCACAGACTGTATCCAAAGCTGGTGGGGCCTGGAAGGGGTGTGGCCAAAGGAGCTTGGGAGGTTTGTACCCCTAGTGGGCGGGGAGGGGTGTGGCTGTCGGTCAGCAGGCTGAGTGCCTGGGTGGGACCCAGCTGACTCATCCTCTTTGGTACCCAGCCCAGGCCTGGCAGGGAGGAGCCCTAAGGTCAGTGAGTTGACCATAGGCATGGTGCTGGGTCTCAGGCTGAGGCCACCAAGGTGTGTGTCCCCTGAAAGGTGCCCTGTGTACTTGGATTTCTTTGACACTAATTTAAAAAGCAAAATTGCTGCTGGGTGCAGAGGTGCACACCATCATTCCAGCTTCTCTAGAGGCCAAGGTGGGAGGGTTGCGAGTTTGAGCCCAGCCTGGACAACTTAACAAGATCTTGTCTTAAGATAGAAAAGGTTAGGGCCGGGGATTTAGCTCAGTGGTTCCATTGCCTGCCTTGTAAGTGCAAGGACACGAGTTCAATCCCCGGTACCAAAAAAAAAAAAAGATAGAAAAGGCTGTGGACGTAGCTGAGTGGTAGAGTGCTTGCCTAGCATGCTTGAGGCCCTGGGTTCAATCCCCGGTACCAACAAGGAAAAATAATAAAAGTGCTTGACAGGCAATACATTTCACATCTGAATCTTTGTGGCTTCTCATGACAAACCCGCTGTGGCCAGTGACAACTGCCTCTAGGGTCTTTTGGACCCACAGTTATGTCGTCCCCCAACCCCTTCCCTGAACTCCATACCTGTTAGCCCCCAGGGCCACCTACGTGCAAGGTGTGCCCACCCTGGGTGTCTCGGAGAATTCAGTCTTTGCTCTGCTCACAGCCAAGACCTCATGTGCAACTGGTCCCCAAGCGGGAGGGGTATCTCGCCCTGGCACTCGTGCTTGTTACCCTCGGCCCAGAGTCTCCCGGGCCTCCCAGGGGCCTCCTGATGCCTCAGTTTAATACCACAGCCAGGCTGTGTGTCTTCCTTGCTTCCCTGGGGTCCCTGGGCAGGGCCAGGCTCCCGATCCAGTAGCCAGGGCCCAGGAGAGGCAGGGGCAGCAGCAGGCCACCAGGGCCTCTGGCCTAGGGGTGTTGGTGGGGTGAGTGTCTTTGGTACCCTGGATGCAGCCCTGGGCCCATAACCCTGCTGGCTGGTGATGGGCAGCAGGCAGAGCCCATGTTCCTACCCCCCCATGGATTTTGCCAGCCTGCCTCCTTCCCTCCCTCCCTCATTGGTTCAACAAATGTTCACTGAGCAGCTTCTATGTGCCAGGCGCCATTCTAGGGCTGGGGTAGAGCAGGACTGGAAGCAGACAGGAAATAACACTCACTGCCCTTGGGAATGTTCAGCTGGGCAGAGCCCGGCAGTGGCAGATGTATGCGTGCTCTCTGTCAGTGGGTGCTGAGTACCTGGGCTAAAGAGAAAGCAGGGAAGGAGGCAGGAATGGCAGGAGCTGGTGTTTTAGACTGGGTGCTCTGAAAGCCTCGCTGAGAAGCTAGGTTCTGAACAGAAGCCTTGAAGGAAAGGGAAGGAACCATAAGAACACTTGGGGCAGAGTGGACACCCAGTGCAAAGGCCCTGGGGTAGGCCTGTGTCTGGTGTGTTTGAGGAGCCATGAAGGGGCCTGTGTGCTTGGAGCTGAGGACTACAGGGGGACCTTGAAGGCCATGACTCAGTACCCAAGAGAGGCACGGTGGTAGCCATGGAGGGTTGAGGACTAGCTGGGTCCAGGATGTGTTTGCATTTGCCATGTGGCCCCTCTGCTTTAGGCCATGGGCATTTTCACTCCCTACACGCCACCTCCTCCAGGGGAGCAGAGAGTGTGGTTTGGGGTTGGTGACCCTGGCAGCTTATAGGGGAGGAAGTGCCAAGCTGGGCCCTGGCCCCAGCAGCCTGTAATTTGCAGTCCCAAGGGCTGATTACAGGGTGGGCCAGCCTCCCTCCCTCTCAGCCCCCCCAACCCCCCGCCAGCTCTCTCCTCCAGTCTGGAAAGCTGGAGAGGGACAAGGGTTGTCACCAGCCTGGGCTGTGGGGTGACAGCTGGCCACAGAGATTGCTCCTCCAGCTCCATTCCTGTGGCTGAGTCACTGTTGGGGGAGTGGCTGCAGGGTGCCCCCCGTCCTGCCCTCACCCACCCACCCCATCATCACCCCATGGCATTTCTTCATTGTGTCTCTGTCTTGTCTCTGTGTGTATTGTGTTGTCCTGTCTGTGTTTCGGGTGCACTTTCCGTGTCCTCTCCCTGCCTGGCCCCCACCCGGCCTTTGCCCTGGACCCCAGACCATCGTGCGGGGCAGCAAAGGTGCCAAGGATGGGGCCCTCACGCTGCTGCTGGATGAATTTGAGAACATGTCGGTGACACGCTCCAACTCCCTGCGGAGAGACAGCCCACCACCCCCCGCCCGTGCCCGCCAGGAGAACGGGGTGCCAGAGGAGCAGGCTGCTGCGGCCAGAGTGGGCCCGGACAAGGCCGGCGGCCGAGGCCGGGTCACCGCTCACAGTGAGGCTGGCAGTGGTGACAGGCGGCGGGTGGGCCCAGAGAAGAGGCCCAAGTCCTCCAGGGAGGGCCCAGGAGGCCCCCTGGAGTCCTCCAGAGACAAGCGCCCCCAATCTGGGCCTGATGTCAGCACCCCCCAACCTGCCGGTCTGGCCAGAGAGGCAAAACTGGTGGCCAACCGGCCCTTTAACACGTACCCACGGGCCGATACAGACCACCCGTCCCGGGGCACCCAGGTAACCTGCCCCCAGCCCCGTGCATTGCTCATCCTGGCCACTCGTGTGTCTGTCCCACACCAGGAGGAGAGCAGCCCCTCACAGCCTCCTTTCTCTTCTGTTTCAGGGGGAGCCTCCCAGCATGGCCCCCAATGGGCCATCCGTGGGGGGCCTGGCCGCCCCACAGTCTTCTTCCTCCCGGCCTCCCGCCCGAGGCCGAGGTGCCCCCAGCCCTGGAGTGCTGGGCCCCCATGCCTCTGAGCCCCAGCTGGCCCCTCCAGCCCGCACCCTTGCTGCCCCTGCTGCGCCCCCAGCCCCTGGTCCCCCTGGTCCCCGCTCACCACAGCGGGAGCCCCAGCGAGTGTCCCACGAGCAGTTCCGGGCTGCCCTGCAGCTGGTGGTGGACCCAGGGGACCCCCGCTCCTACCTGGACAACTTCATCAAGATCGGCGAGGGCTCCACAGGCATCGTGTGCATTGCCACTGTGCGCAGCTCGGGCAAGCTGGTGGCCGTCAAGAAGATGGACCTGCGCAAGCAGCAGCGGCGCGAGCTGCTCTTCAACGAGGTGGGCAGGAGGCGCGGCTGGACCCTCGGCTTCCCTTCTCTTTCTGCCATGTTCTTTTGCCCACTGGCCCGGGCCCCTTCTTCACTCCTCACGTCCTCTTGGGCCATCCCCACAGTCTCCAGGGTGGGGTTCCTACCCTGTCCTAACAGTACTCATGCCTACCTCGCTGTCCCCGGGCCTACTGAAGCCCTCCTTGTCCATGTCCTTGAGGCCCCTCCACCCTCTGAGCCCCAACTGGCCTGCAGTGTTCCTCCTGGCTGGAGCCCTGGACCCCACCACCTCTGTGTAGCCCCATCCTGTCCCACTCAGCTCCTGCCCAGCTGCCCATTTTGGGCATCCCCTGACATTCCCCACACTGCAGCCAAAGGGATCTTTGACATTCAGACCTGCTGTGTCCCCATCCCTGCCTAACAGACCCTTGAGGCGCCCCCAGTGCCTCAGGGTAGAGCTCAGGCCCCTTAGCCACCATTTTAGGCCCTGCACCATCCAGTCCCCAACTGGGCACTTGGTTTTATCCAGCTTCTGGCTCTGCATCTTGGTGGCCTCTCTGCCAGGACTTGTTACAAAGGCAGCTTCCTGGGTCCCAGAGAGGAGTCTGGGCATGGGAGGTGTTCCCCTCCTCTGGTGCAGGAGTACCCAGTGGAGGCCAGGCCTGGAGGCTGCCCTGGCGGCTGCTGCCCTCTGCTCTCCAGCACTTTCTCCACTGCTCCATAGCCGGCTCCCACCCACATTCCACTGCTCCAGCTACACCGTGGCTTCATGAGTCATTCTGGCCCGCACAAGCACAGGGCCCCCCACCCCAGCCCCTGATGGCGCCTGGAGTTCACCATCCTCCCTGACATGCATCCCATGTCTGCTTATCCCTCTTAGCTCAGCCTTGTACCTGGCACTCCTCCAACCTCCTATCCCAGCATAGTCTTTGTCAAGGCCACGGAGACTAGCCCAGGATCTAGGATGGTGTCTGGGGCAAGGGCACACCCCAAGTGGAGGCATTGGGCTTCAGGCTGCTTTGAGGGCCGCTAGGCCTTGTCCATGGGGCAGGGTCGCCAGGGTGGTCTGGCCAGGCTGAAGTGGGAGGCTGGTGGCTGGTGGTGGCTGGGTCTGAAGGCTGAGGCCAATGCTCCCTGCCTCCGCCAGGTGGTGATCATGCGGGACTACCAGCACGAGAATGTGGTGGAGATGTACAACAGCTACCTGGTGGGGGATGAGCTCTGGGTGGTGATGGAGTTTCTGGAGGGTGGCGCCCTCACTGACATCGTCACCCACACCAGGTACTTGGGGCAGCGGGACCCCTGCTGGCTCTCCAGCTCCCTCCTGACCTCTGCCATGACAGGACTGAGCCCCCTCCGGAGGTACAGGCAGGGCCTGGTCTCCCCAGAGCCAGCAGAGCCACTGGGCCCCAGGACAAGAGTATGTTTTAGATTCCTGTCATGATGGGTCTGGGTCTCCCCTTGGCTCCCCAGGGTAGGGTCTGTCTGCTCAAGTCCCCTGCCCTAACCCAAGGCAGGGCTGGTACCTGTTGAATCTGGGCCTGGCCCTATCTGCCCATCCACCCCTCTGCTCACAGGATGAACGAGGAGCAGATCGCTGCCGTGTGCCTGGCTGTGCTGCAGGCCCTGTCTGTGCTCCACGCCCAAGGCGTCATCCACCGGGACATCAAGAGTGACTCCATCCTGCTGACCCACGACGGCAGGGTAAGGAGGGGCTGGCCAGGGGCTGGCTTTCCCACCATACCGGATCCCCTCTGTTGTTCAGTGACCGAGGAGCCGTGGGCAGATCTGTCCCTCATAGAACAGTCAGAGTCTAGGGGCCAGGTCGGTGGGTGCCAATCTGTACGGGACTAACAACTGTGCACTAGCACTGGGCCCAAGGGACACACTCAGGCCCTGTGACAGCTGTGGCTCTGCCACACGCTTCTCTGTCTGCCAAAGATGGATGATGTCCCTGTAAGTACTGGGTGAGCTATGGACCCTGGGCCTGCCTTCCCTGTTTTGGGCTGAGGTTCTGAATCTGGGGCCATGGATGAGCCAAACAGTGCCCAGCACTTGCATTTATAGTCCAGGATGATTTTCTGTGGGAGAGGCCCTTGGGTCCACCACATTCCTGCAAAGTTGACAACTGCCACTTCCCCAAGGAAGGTCCAGCCCCATCAGTGGAGGCAGAGAGAGAACGAGAGGATGAGAAGCTGAGGCTGTCTGCAGATGTCTCCAGGGAACATCTGTGAGCCTCCTGAAATTGCACGCGCCCCGTGTGGGTGTGTGTTCTGGGGGCGAGCAGATCCATAGATATGCTCAGGAGTCTGAAAGGGCCTACAGCTCCACAAAAGGTGTAACTCCTTGGTTCTGGGAAGCTGGTTGTTGCAGAGGCAGGCTGTGTGTGTGTGCACCCCCTGGGGAGCAGTGTCCTCCAGCCTGTGAACTGAAGACCTGCTCCCTCCAGAGGAGAAGGGCCCGGGATGCTGGCTCTGAGAGCCAGCCAGCCTCGGTGCCCACCTCAGTCCCCAGCCAGCCTTCGAAATCTACAGGACTCAGCCACTTTCCCAAGAGCCCCATGGCCCCAGCAGATATGAGACCCTGACGGTTCCCTGCCAGGAGGTGGAAGAGCCACTCAGTGGTCAGTCTCCAGAGCCCAGCTCTTGCCTCGGCTTCGAGGTGGAGCCAGGAAGTAAACAGGTCAGCACTGCTGCCTGCTCTCTCCACCCACACCTCTGACCCTGCCCCCTCTGCCCTGCCCCAGGTGAAGCTGTCCGACTTCGGGTTTTGTGCCCAGGTGAGCAAGGAAGTGCCACGGAGGAAGTCACTGGTGGGCACGCCCTACTGGATGGCCCCAGAGCTCATCTCCCGTCTTCCCTATGGGCCAGAGGTGAGCCCAGTGGTGGCCTGGCTGTCCGGTGACAGTGCTGGAGTACTGGGAGGTGGTGGAGGCAGTCTAGGGGTGGGTTGCGGGAATGGTTTCGTGGACGAGGAGGTAGGATGCGAGCGTGTGTGCATGGGTTTGTTAGTCCATTCATTATTGATTGAATACAAGTTCTGAGCCAGCCCAGTGCTTGCAGTGGGAGCAGAAGTGGCCATGGGCCCTGCCTGACAGTGCGGTGATGAGGCCACAGATCAGCAGGCTTCCAGCTGAGGCGGCCTGAAGATGCTTTTGCAGACATTTTTAAATGAGTCCTTGCACATGAATGGTCAGAATCTCTTGTTGAAAAGCCACATCTGGCCATATGGAGGCAACGTGCACTCATGGAAACAGTGGGGTATAGAGGGGCTCCCCTTTCGGAAAGGGCACATACCTGTGTTTTGGCTGAGTCCCCACCCATCCCAGTTGCCCACCTTGGCCTGCTTCCCTCACTGCGGCTCCCTGCCTGGCCCTAAGGGCTCCTCCTGAGTTCCTGCGGGACTTGACCCAGTGCCTGGCCAGGGAGAGGGCGCCTCAGGCTGGAGTGGGGTCACACTGGGAGGAGGATGGTGTGGGAGTGTGAGAGGACTGTGAGCAACAGAAACCAGTACAAGCTGGAAGCCTGTCAGTCCCTGGAGCTGTGTCACTGTGGGGTGGACAGGCTGCAATAGCCGCCCATGTGCTCCTTCCTGCCATTATCTTGGGTGGCTTCACTCAGGCAAAGGCTCCCCTTGTAAAGCAGAGAGGATCCCTGGCCATGGGGACACTGTTCCGCTGCACTACGAGCTGCACTATGTGCCCAGCCTTCTGGCTGCAGTCTCATGACTGGCTCTGAATGGGTCAGCTGGGTCACGTGCCCCTTTCTGAACCAGAGTTCTGCCTGCTGATTGGGCAGCCAGGTCATGGACCCCTGTGAGCTACAAGAGCTGAGGCTGGAGGGCTTCCCCAGAGGAAGGCTGGGCATGGGCAGCAAAGAACAGTGGCTGGGTGCTGGGGAAAAGCACCCCTCTGAGGGCTTCCTGGAGGCTGAGCACATGGGACATGGCCCGCTGGACATCCCTGGGCGTGCGAGAGGGTGATCCGGGCCCAAGGGCTCTGGGAGCTAAGACCCAAAGGCAGAATGGGGGGCTGCGCCTCTCGGGATTGCCGAGGCCTAGTTCTCCCTCTGCAGCCATCCTGCCATCCCTCCTCTACCCCAGGTGGACATCTGGTCGCTGGGGGTAATGGTGATCGAGATGGTGGATGGGGAGCCTCCCTACTTCAATGAGCCACCCCTCAAAGCCATGAAGATGATTCGGGACAACCTCCCACCACGACTGAAGAACCTACACAAAGTGAGTCCTTGCTGACAGGGGCCTGGTACTTGGGGCTGCATCCTTGGTGGGTCCTAGGATGGTGTCACATGTCCCAGACTCCCTGCCCCATGCCCTGTGTGTCCCCACACAGCCTGTTAGGGGCGAGCCCAGAGATGGCAGAGCCCCAGGGTCCCCTGCACCTGCGTCATCCAGAGGCTGGGGCTCAGCTTGCCTGGCTGAGGAGGGCGCACAGCACGGCCATGTCCTGTCCCCGGCCTGTCCCAGGAAAAGCTGCCTGTTCAGAGGAAGAGGACAGCTAGGGCCTGCCTGGTGGGGGACTCATGTCGTGGGGAAGGGCTGCCCTCTCCTTGGCAGATGGGGAGGAAATGGCCCCTGGGTGCAGGCTGAAGACACTAGTGATGTCAGCCCTCCCAAGGCAGCAGATGCCCCTGGGCAGGAGGAGAGTGAGAGCGCAGTGCCGTGGGCCCTCTCCTCACCCCGTGTGACCCCACAGGTGTCACCATCTCTGAAGGGCTTCCTGGACCGCCTGCTGGTTCGAGACCCGGGCCAGCGTGCCACAGCGGCCGAGCTGCTGAAGCACCCGTTCCTGGCCAAGGCGGGGCCGCCCTCCAGCATCGTGCCCCTCATGCGCCAGAACCGCACCAGATGAGGCCAGCGCACTGGCCCTGCACCAAAGAGCCCCTGGTCGCCTGCCCTGCCAGATGCCAGTAGGGGCATGTGGCGCGCTCCTCCCAGCCTTCGAGACACTCCGTGCAGCACCGCCCTCCTCTCAGGGTCTTCTCGGGTCCCTACTACTGAACTCTGGCTTTGATTTTGTGACTGTACAAACAGACTCACGGGAGCACTGAGACTCCTGGGACCCACCCTGGGACAGGCCCTCCTGGGTACTCCTGTCCCCGGGAAAGAGGGCGGCCCACACATCACTGGAAATCTGCAATTGGGTCGACAGGTGGAGAGAACACTATGAAAAGGGTGTGCGTGTGTGCAGTGTGTGCGTACGCACCAAAAGCCCGAATGCTCTGTCCTCAGCCGGTAGGTGTGTGTCCCTGGGGCCTTGCCGGGCATCCAGCCCCTGGCCCCGAGGCAATGTGGGGGTCCCTCATGAATGTCTGAAGAGTGGCCTTTTCCTGGAGCCCTGCACACCCCTTCTGTGGCTGGAGGGAGCTGGGTTGGGCTTCCCCACCCCAGCCTCTGCAGCAATGACTACTGCACCTGGACAGCCTCCATTTTCTAGAAGTCTATTTATATTGTCATTTTATAACACTAGCCCTGCCCCCACCTGGGGATAGGGAACCCCTGTCCTATGGGGTGGCTCAGGGCAGAGCCACTGCTTGAAAACTCAGGTTCTGCCCTGGCAGCACATCCCTGCCCCACCCAACCCTCCCTCAAGTTAGTTTTACAATTAAAACATTTTCTTGTTTTTGGCGCGTGCGTGTGTTTCGTAAAGGCCTCTGCCTGGCCATCTTGGGGTGGGAATTTACCCCATTCCACTCCTCTTCGGATGCAGCCAGCCTCATCCCAGCCTGGGAGCAGCCAGCCTGCCAGAGTCCACAGCCACAGTTGCCGATTACAATTTCCTGGAAGGTAGCTTGTCTTGAGCCTGTTCACTGGTCAGAGCAGACCCTTGATGAGTTGGCATTGGTAAATTGGCCACTTAGCAGATTGGTCAGTGGACAGATAGATGGTTCTTGGGGGACTGAGGCAGAAGGACTGGAGCTGCCAGCTCAGGCCACTCTGTCCACAGAAGATGTCCCTCTAAGCCGAGGCAGGAGTGGGTTGGCTTGGAGGCGGCCACATTTGCCTGGAATCCTCCTTGGCACCCAGAAGGTGGGCAGAGGCGGCAGCCCGGAGTTAGGTGAGAGGATGAGAAGCAAACCTCCTCCAGGGCCCACCGCACACCCTGGCACTGGGACCTCAGTCTGGCCGTTGCTGAGCAGTGAGAGGTCCAGCCCTCGCTTGTCCACTGCCACAGAGCCCACCTTTGCAGGTCCTGGTGTCACCCAGAGCCAGAGCTGTCTGGTAGCACTCTGCCAGGTGTGTCCAGGATGGGACAGATACACACGGTCAAACCCAGCATTTCGGAGACTGTGTCTGATGCACAGGTCAAGTGAATACATTTCTGCAAAGAAATATGACTAAATCGCTGGCTGTGGTGGCCCGCGCCTGTAGTCCTAGCTACTCAGGATGCTGAGGACAGAGGACCTCAAGTTTGAGCCCAGACTGGGCAGTTTAGCAAGACACTGATACAAAATAAAAAATAAAAAAGGGCTGGGATGTACCTCTGTAGTAGAGCACTTGCCTAATGTGTAAGGACGCGGGTTCCATCCCCAGCTAAAGATACATATATGCCAATATAGGCAGAATAGAAATGCCCCACACATACTCTCCAAATAAATACAAAAAGCCCCCGGTTTGATTACTTTTATAAAGAGATCAACCAAACATGAACAGGTAATTCCTACACTGTACAAGTTGTCCCCAGGCTGCTAGGGCCACTGAGCAGCAGGACAGTGTAGCACCCTGCAGCTGAAGCCCCAGTGCCCTCTGGTCCTGCTGGGCACTGGGTGGTGCCCGAGTTCCGGGACAGGAAGTCACCTGCCAGTCACATGTCTGACTCCATGGTGACTGCTGGTTTGGGAGCCTTCAGTCACTGACACTGCGACTGGAAGGAGTGGTTCTAAGTGGTGTGGTGGGAGCGCTCCAGGGCTGTCCCTTAGCACTGCTTCCGGCTGCTGTCACCTGTGCAGAAGGGTCACCGAAATGGACACACAGCCCTCTGACTGTTTTGGTGGGGGCAGGGGAGGTAAAACTGCAGGGCTTCGTTAGTTTCACAGTGGCAGCAAGGCTGGGGGAGCCAAACAGGGCCAGTTACCCAGCAGTCAGTGGAGGCAGGAGGCTGTGGTCACCCACGTGGCTGGGGGACAAGGGGTCAGTGGCACTGCCCAGACCCAGGAAAACCCCCCTTGCCCCTGCAGAGCCGGAGCAGCACAGCCCCACCCCCTTTGGTGTCTCCTGGCAGAGCCTTCCTGACCCAGCTGCCAGGGAGGCCCTGAAAAGTAACCTCTCAGTCTTCCTGGCTGAGCAGAATGGGTCATTTTGCAGGGCGGAGTGGGCTGTGCTGCAGCCTAACTGCCATGGCCACCACCTGGAACCCGGGACTCGCTCTATGCAGATGTGAGGGCCAGACCGGGCTTTCCCGAGGCTCAAGTCTGGGCAGGGGAGTTGGGTGTGCTATCTTGTAGGCCACAGGGCTGTTTATGGAGAACCAAAACAATCGATGTAAACAGGTCAGACCAGTGGTTCCCAACCAGCCGCTGCTCTGGGAACTTGCTGGAAATACAAATTCCTGGGCCCCGCCCCAGGCTGAATCAGACACCAGGTAAGGCCCAGCAACCTGCATTTTAGCAAACCTTGGGGGTGGGGTCTGTCTTTCATTCTCTCTCTCTCTCTTTTTTTTTTTTTGATACCAGGTATCGAACTCGGGACCTTGCGCTTCCAAGGCAGGTGGCAGAACCACTGAGCTAAATCCCTGGCGCTCGAGCACTCTCTCTCTCCTCTCTCTTCCTCCTTTTCTTTTCTTTTTTCTTTTCCTTTTCTCTCTTCTCTTCTTTTCTCTCCCCCCGCCCCTCCCCTCCCCTCCCCTCCTCTCTCTTCTTTTCTTTTCTTTGTTCACAGTCTATATCATCCAGGCTGGCTGTGAACTCACTATCCTCTTAGCCTTCTGAGTGCTGAGCTACACCATCCACCACCACACCTAGCACCTGCAGGGAATTCTGATGCCCGCTCCAGGGTGGGAACCTGTGGAGTCCACAAGGGCTCTGTGTAAACACCCAGGCCAAGCGGGATTTGAGTTCTCAGGACCCCAGTGTCCTTCCACCTTGTTCCTTCATCCTAGGACTGTGGGAGAGATGACAACCATTCCTCAGCTAGCTTCAGCAAACAGCTGCCCAGAGGCAAGGCAGGTTGGGAAATGTAGTCTTTATTCTGAGCAGCCATGGGTCTCAGGAAAATGCCATCACTAATGAAATCATGATTTTCCTTCCCTGCGGATTTGCTGGCTTCATCTGGTTTAATGATCCCGCGGAGGGCCCAGAGGCCCAGAGGCCAAGCAGGTGTGTGCAGGAGCTTCGTGTGCAAAATATCTGGCCCCACAAGTCAGCACAGGTAAATGGCTGGTAAATAATAGTGCTGGGGAAACTGGCCCATTTTATGGACAGAAGAAAAGTGAGTCTTTACTTAATACTATAAAACAAAAAGCCAGCCTAGCTTGTGCTGCTCAGGACAGGAGCTACCAGCCATGTGTGACTATTTAATTTTAAAGTGAAATAAAATTAAGCATGCAGTACCTCCACAAGGGAACTAGCACATTTGCAAGCTCAATTTCTACCGCAGCCAGAGTCTACCAGCCGACAGTACAGACACAGCATGTGCCCGTGGTCTCAGCTTTCCTGAACAGCATGGCCCTAAAAGGGTCAAAACTCTGATGGTAAAGCTGGGCATGGGGTACATACCTGTAGTCCCACCTATTGGGGAGGCTGAGGCAGGAGGATCACAAGTTCAAGTCTCATCTGGGATATGGAGATATATATATATGTATATAATGCCAGATGTGGTGTTGCCCTCCTGTAATCCCAGGTACTGGGGAAGCTGAGCAAGAGGATTTCATGTTCAAGGTCAGCCTAGACAAATTAGCAACTTAGGGAGACCTGTCTCAATATACATATAAAAAGAGCCAGGGTTGTAGCTGAGTGTTAGAGTGCTTACCTAGCATGCATGAAGCCCAGGGTTACGTCCCCAGCAGCAAAACCAAAAATAAACTGCTGCTATTCCAGCAGCCCTAGAAAACAAATCCTTCCTCTGAGCAGCCTTTCAAGGGAGCCCCTTCACTGTCCTATTTCACAGATGAAAGACTGAGAACCCAAGATGTCATGAGGCGAGAAAGCAATAGAGGCAGGATTTGAACCCAGGCATTTGGTCTGGGCGTCCCTGCACATAATCACCATACCACACTAAATAACTGCCCGGGGGCTCCCTTCACTATACCACCCAAGGGTCAAATCTGGACAGGAAACTGTCAACCCTGCTCTTCCCCCAGAGGCCAGTCCCTCAGCCAGGATGGGGAGAGGGGTTGGGGTGATGTTCGGGGCAGCCCGACAAGAAGACTGGGGTTGAGGGACCTTGGGGCTGGGGGACAAGATGGGGCAGGTTTGCGAGGTGGGGACCACTCAGAGCCTTTTCCCAGAGGACCAGAAGCATCTTCAGAAGTTTAGGGACTGCTGCATTAAACAAAGTTAAATTCAGGGGGTGTGGAGGCACTCTGTAATCCCAGCACTCTGGGAGGCTGAGGCAGGAGGACCACAAGTCGGAGCCCAGCCTGGGGAACTTAGTGACCTAGTGAGACCCTGTCTCAAAAAAGAAAGGGGGACCAGGGATGGAGCTCAGTTCGAAGGCCCCAGGTTCAATCACCAGTACTGAAAAATAAAAGTTAAACTCCTTTCTCCCTCTCTCCCTCTCCTTCCCTCCCTCCTCTTTCCTATACCTCTCTGACTTTCTCTGTCCCTGTCACTTTTTCATTCTGGTTTAATCTGGTTCATTGTTTGAACAGGTAACCCAGTCTGTGATGCAAGACATAAAAGATTACAAAGGGGACAGATCGAAAAGTCCACCTCTGTCCCTCCCTTCCTGCCCCCAGCCTCCCTGTTCTCCACTGCTATAAACAAATATCTCCCCTCTCCCACGTGGAGACCTATGCTCTGCCTTGCACAAATTAGCACAATGCACCCAGCCTTGTGCAGCTCGCTAACAGTATACCTTGATGGTCATTCCCTGTTGGTACCAAAAGTGCAGCCCACCCCTGTTAACAGCAGTGTATTATTAAGGAAAAAGTGACTTGCTCCTGTTAATGGCCATGTATTATTCCACTGAGCAGATTCACCGTGACTGACACAGTCCCATCAATGACTTGCAAGGAGCTTGTGTTGTTGGCCTTTGTTTCTGCCATGCTGGCCACATGTCATCCCATAGGCAAAGTGAGCACTCTGCCACCGAACCCCATTCCCGGCACCATTGGCTGTTCTGAACAGTCCCACAGCAAAGGGCTCACACATGGGCGAATTTACCGAGTACACCTGCATGTGCTCTGCTCCCTTGCTGAGGCTGGACCTCCAAACGTGAGGTCCCTCTCTGGCTCTGGCCGACTCCACTCCAGTCTCTCTTCCTATGCCTCGGCCTCTCAGTCCCTACCTTTCTGTTTTCTGGCTTCATGTTTTCTCTCTTTACCCTCTGTCTTTGCATTGAACTATGGCTCTGACTGAATCCTCCCTCCTCAGGCTTCCTCCTACCCCACCTCATTCCCATCTCTCTGTCGCCCCCTGCAGGGCAAAG